TAGGTGCTTTAGACCACTGAGCCATCTCACCAGCCCCCAATGCCCAGTTTTGAGTAGGCTGCACACTCTGATAGACCACAGGGTCACCACTGTCACGCCTCATTTTCCTTCAGCAGCTGCCACATGCAGCCTCCCAACTCTCACCTGTCCTTCCCCCCCACACACACAGAGTGGACCTAAGGCAGCTCTAAACAAGGGCTGTCAACACAGCTGTGTGCAGAGGAGTGAGTCCACCCTGGTAGGGTAGTGACAACCCTTCCTCGGGGTAAATTCGCAAGCAAAAATAGGCAATGTGATTCACAGGGACAGAGAGCCTGCCATTCCAGGTCAGATGTCGATTCAAGCCTAGCCTCTGCCACGTTATTGCTGGGCAACCTTAAGAAGTCACCTTCACTGCTGAGCCTCAGCTATTAGGTTGTAAAATGAAGCAAGGAAGCAGGAGAGGATGCCCTTGAGTCAGTGAAATGATGAGCCAGTACTTGGCAAGCTTTTGATCACCACCTAAGTGTTCGCAGTTCAGATCCTGGTTGTCACTGTTTTGGGTGGCACTGGGAGTTGAACCCAGGGCTTTCACACTGAGTTACATCGTCAGCCCTTTTTTATTTTTTATTTGGAGACAAGGTCTCACTAATTCACCCAGACTAGGCTTGAACCTGCGATCTTCCTGTCTCAGCCTCCCAAAGTGAAGGAATTCTAGGCCTGCACCACTGCGCTTAGCTGTCATTGCTCTATGGCAGTCGGTGGTCAACTCCTCAGGATACTGCCCACTCTGTGACACGGGCAAGTGATGCCCAGCCTCGCCACCTAGGGGTGGCTCAGAGCACTGCGCCCTCACCTGCAGCATGTCCACCATCTTCCGGAGATCTGCAGCCCGCAGGCCGGCAGCTTGCTGCATGGTAAAGCCCTTAAAGTTCTCAATGATGCAGAAGCCATTAATCTGCGTTTCCTCATTCTCCAGGAGCTTCTCCAGGATGAAGCAGTACGCCTGCAGGATCTAGGCCACACAGCAAATGGGGTGTGAGCTGCCCACAAAGACAATTAAGACTCGAGCCTCTGAGGGGACAGCTAAGTGGCACATTCCCTACTGGAGGCACTTGTCACAGGCTTCCATCCAGGACGTCTTCCCTCTGTGAGTGTCTACCCAGAAATAACCTCGAGTGTGACGTCCATGGTTGAGCATCACAGTGTTTATCCTGGGACTTGGAATAGTGGAACTACCGGAAAGGACTAAAAGTCCAACAGGAAGGGGCAGGTGCAGTGACAGTGTGTTTAGGAATCTAGGTACAAAGAAAGTACCTAACATGTACTAATAGAGACAAAATACCTGGAATGGTGGATGATTTTAAACTTGCAATTTTTGTGTATCGTAAAATGAGAAGATGTTATTTGTAGGAGGAAAATATTTTAAAACATCTCCCTTAAGGAAGTTTCAGGCCTAAAGCTAGTATCTTATTTCATGGAAATCACCAGAAGCATCCATAATAAGATCAGGAAGGTCATAAGGTGTCACTGTTTCTACCACTACTGACCTCTATGCTGGAAGTACTGGCCTATGTAATCGATTTGGAAGGAGCAGCTGAGACAGGGTCTCACTATGTAGTGCAGATGGCCTTGAACTCATGAACGGAGGAGCCCAGGCTGGCCAACTCCTGGCAATCTTCCTATCTCAGCCCCCTGAGTCCTGGGGTTATAGGCGTGCACCACCTAACCCAGCAGTAAGTGACTTTTTTTAAAAAAAAATCAGGAACATAAGAAGTAAAAAAGAAGAAAAAGCATCACTTCTATTTATAGGTAATACTAAGTATACTTAGAAAACTCAACATAATCCATTTTAAAATAAACATCAAAAATAATTCAGGGGCTGGGGAGATGGCTCAGTAGAATAAGCACTTGCCTGGCAAGCACAAGGGCCTGAGTTCAATCCCCGGTTCCGCCAAAAAAAAAAAAAAA